TTTCTTTCTTTGCTCTCTCTCTTATTTCAATCTTTACATTATTTCTTACCTCCTATTCTCGTTAATCATTTTTAATTTAAATTATATTATTAAAATAATACTGCTTACTGTAAATCTAGAAAAAACTAATATATACTTTTTCGACATTCTCATTATTATCTAATTATATTTGATTAAGATTAAACTCTCAAAATCCTACCATTTTTTTTATTACAAATTAATTATCTATAGAATTTAAATATAAAATATCAAATATTGAAATCAATAGATGAAAATTATTATTTAAATTCCTAAAATCTTAGATTAACAATTCTTAATAGGATACATAATTTCATCATAAAACTTTAGTATTGAATCTCTATATTTAATTCCATGTTGAAAATTTAGAAAAAAAACTTTTATTTTATAAATATAATTCTTAATTTATAGATGATATGATTATTTACTTTATGTAGTTATTTTTTTAATTTTAATTTTCTATAATGATATAAAATTTAAATGATATGAGTAAAAACAAATAAAATCATCTAAAACGAGTGATTGGTTATTTTTGAGTTCTTATGACAACAGATCTTCCTCTAATAATTCCTTTAGTAGGTTTTGATTAAGTCTATCGTTTTTATTCTTCTTCTAAAGTGCTTTCTCTAAATATAACTAAACCCAACAACTTTTCATGTTATTTAAGTTATTTTATAAATCCTTCATTTGGACAGATAACAGATCTTTTTGCCTTAACATGTTGAAAGGATTTTACATAGCTCCATTTAAATGATCTCATTATAAAATAAATTACTATAGCTGCAGAACGAGATACTCCAGCAGCACAATGAACTAAAATAGGTCCTCTTTTTAACCATATTGACATAAATTCATAACATTCATTAAAATGTTAAGATAAATCATAAGATGGATCATCAATAGCATCAATTACTTTATGAATAATTCCTTGTCCTGGTTCAATGTTTAAGTCTTTAGCTACAGTTAATACTGCAACAAGTTAATGTTTGAGTTACCACTTTTTATCCAAAGCTGCATAAAAATCTCCCAAATATAAAGTTCCATTTGTTAGTGTATTTTCAAGAATCACATTTGCACAAACAACTTTATATTTTTCCATAAAATCAACAAAGGTCCTCATTGTTTTTATATTTTATTAATAAAAAATGAGCTAATCAATTCAAAAATAATAATTGCACATCCTTTCTAAATCAAAGTTATCTAGAATAAAAAATGAAATTCAAGAATAAAGTATCTTTAAATCTTTCATATAATTGCATACTCAATAAAGGGCTAATTATCATAAAGACATACGTGATTAATAATTAAAATAAAAAAAGGAGTTCGAAAGATTATGTCAATCCTTAAAAAAAAATGATGTGTCGATACGGTTTAACAAAAAACGATAATCATAATCTGTTTAATTAAGTCCATCAATAAAAGTATCGTTTTAAACACCTTTGTTAAAGAAAGCACATCGAAAATTTTAAAAAACCCCATTTCCTAAACAATGAATATAAATTATGATTTTTGTATCATAAAATCATTAATCTCTCCTATTTCAACTTTGAAATCTATTTCAGTCTTAATTGAATACGGTTTATTTCTTCCTATATTAGTTTTGCTCTTGAAAAATAAGGTCTATTCAAATGATCCTTTGTTGCATATCTTGGTTCAACTCCTTCAATAATTTTGACAATTTATGCATACTCATCTCTAACATTGATAACTAATTTCCTTCTAACTAAAAACCCTCTTACTAATGCTTGTATTTTAATTATGTGATTATTATTATTATTCATATAATATTCAAATTATTTATTTTTATCCTCTTATATCACAGGTAAACACTCTTAGATATTATAAATAATCAATTACACTAGCCAATAAAAATGGATCTTTAACCTAAAAATGATAATTGTATAATATTACTCCATCTAATTGCATGTTTGTGTCAGGGAACATTTTTTCAGGATTATCTAAGAATTCCCAAAGCTTTCTTCTTGTCCAATAGAATTTTTAAGCTGTCAAATCTTTTCCATAATTTGAAAACTTTTTTGATCCATTTCTTCTTAAATAAACTGTTCTCAAAGATGGTCCTAAATATAAATCTTAGTCTCTTTATAAATCAAATTTATTATACAGATCATGACAGCCCGCACAATTATGATTAAAGAATATTCTCCCTTTTGTTAGGTCTCCATTAGGAATCTCTATTTCTATTTCATACTCATTTTTCACTTAGCCTTTCCTTTTAAATTTTTAACTAGACTAACCACGTAATTCATATCCAACATCACCATCGTACAATTTTCTTGATCTCATTATATATTAATGAGAAATTATTATTTCTCAAAATTGTTAATTAATATAAAAATCTTAATTTATTATAATAATAAAATTCATTATTGTTATCTATCGTATTAATTTAACTTAATGAATATTTCTATAACTAATCTAACTAATAACCTCCTTTAAATGCCTTATTTATATAATTAAACATTACTTTAATTGTAAAATATATCGTTTTAATTTAGGAATACTTTTCTTTCATAAATTTTATCTATCTATCTATCTATCTATCTATCTATCTATCTATCTATCTATCTATCTATCTATCTATCTATCTATCTATCTATCTATCTATCTATCTATCTATCTATCTATCTATCTATCTATCTATCTATCTATCTATCTATCTATTTAAATCGCCTGAGGTATGCATTAACCATTAATATTTTTAGATTATTCTTCAATTAATTTAAAAGAGATAATATCTGAATGGTATTTGATACATTCATTTTTTTCAAAGTAAGATGAAAGATTTAAAAAATGAAGATCTGTTTTTAATATCTCTTATATAAATAATACTTTTTGTTGGGGCTTATCGATTTAGATATCAAAATTTTCAACATGAATGCAAAAATAGAATTTTTGATCATTTATTATTTTTATTATACAATTCCTCTATTAAAATATTGACCATCAATTGAAATTTCTATTTAAAATGTAGATTTTTTTGGATTGTTTCCTATATTTTTAAATAAATCATTCTATTGACATTAAGCTAACATCATTCTAATAAATCATTTATATGAAGAATTTAAATATAATATTGCCAAGAGATCGATTAAATTCAATTTCCCTTATAGTATAGATATTAAATCAACTTTCAAATTCATTGAAGATAATTAAAAATCTAAATAGTGATTACAACATTGTTTTCAGTTTAAAATCTAAGTAAATATTAACCATGTTCATTATAAAAGTAATTTTCAATTAATAAACAAATTTTCTTTTTGTTAAATATAATATGTTGCTTAAACTGTAGTAAAATTAATTGTTTTATTCTTTTTGTTTAATTACTCCCTTTATTTAAAAAGAATCACTTTATTGTAATAGCCCTATTTACATAATTAAAAGATAAATAATTAAAATTTTTTATATATTCCTATAAGTGTTAATTTTATTATAAATATATAAAGCTTCAAAGCCTCCTCTAATGAATTCTGAAGTAGATTTCTTCATCCTATCAAGATTGTAAAAAATCAAAAATTTAACTTAATAAGTGTAACTTTAGAGATTCAAAATTTCAAATTAAATTTATTTTATTTTATTTGTAGAACAGATTGTTTATCAATATGATAATTTAGATAAAAAGCAGTTTATGTTTTTAAACGAAAATTAAATTTTTAAAATTCTTCAATAAAGCCATTAGAAAATAAATTTAAGAAAATAATATTGGGTTTATTAAAAAATAGAAAACAATTGTTGATAAATAAGTTATTCTTATTCTAAATTGAGATATGATTTGTTCTAATTAATCTTTATTTAATCAATACTTGATTCATTTTAAAATTAAAAAATGATGTCCAAATATAAATTTCTAAAAGCCTTGTTCAGGGAACAACAAAAATTTTATCAGGTCAATCATTTCAATTTTATTTACTATTGCATTAAATTATAATAAGGGTATTTTTATTAAAATTGGCAAAAGAAATTGTTTATTGAAATTAATTATATCAATACTACACATAAAAACGAAAAAAATAAAAATAAAAACCATTTATATTATCAATTTTCCAAAAATATATCACTTTTTTTTTTTTCCATAATTTTTTTCTTATAGTTTCCAATCCACAATTTAACCTACTAAAAAATTTTTTGTAATTGTTAGTAGACATCTATGGCCAAGCTGGAAATAAGAAGTAATGTAAAAAAACCTATATTAATCCAACCTAAAATTTCAGTTTAGTTTTAATTAGATTTTATTATATCGTAAACAGAAAAGAGTATAAGATTAATCATCACCATAATTTCTGTGATGAATATTTTCATATTTTCATATTTGTTTTGAAAAGGTTTATAAATATAAATATAACATGAAAATACTCCTGATAAGCTACCTGTAATAATACTCTATGCAACAAAAAGCTTTTAAAATACGATTAAATTAGTAATGAATAAAGTTTTTTTAATCAACAATATAGAAAAATATTATTTAGATCCTTATTGGAATTCATTATTAATTCCTTCCACTAAAACTGAGAGTTTTTTGTCCACTTTAACTTTTTTACTAAGATAAGAAAAAAAAATCAAAATTGAGAATAGATTTAATTTCAAAGTAATTAATGCCATTAATGATATGACTGAATTTATAGTAGTATCAGTATTATAGTTGGAAACTTATAAAACAGATGCAAAGGTTATTTCATAAAAATTAGATGTAAAAATTCTAATTAATCCAGAGTAAATAAAATACTAATATTATTTTCTTGCCAACTTCTAAAAGGAGAAAATAAATTTGACAACTTTAAAAAAAATTATGGATTATTTTTTATTAAAAATACTTGGCCAATTTTAATATTTAATAAGAACTAGGATTTTATAAAAGAAATATGAAACTGCAAAATAAAAAAATCCGATAATTGTTACAGTGACTAGTGTTTAAAGACTATCTAAAAAGCAAGAATTAATTTAATATTATTCAAATTTCTATTTTGCTGGTATGATTGGAGTTTGGAAATTAAATAAATTCAATAAGATTTAATCTGTTTAGAATAAATGTACAAAGGAAGTAACAGAACCAATAGTAAATACTTCAAAATAGCTAGATAAGTGAATTGGGAATTCAATATTGTGAAATTTCATATATGATAGTTATTACAACATATCAAGGAGATTCCATAAAATTTCTAAATTACCAAACAAAAAAGCAATACAACTGACACTCAAGATGATATACATTACAATTTTACTAAACAAGGCTGTTTTAAAGATAAGTTATTGTTAATCATTTGACATTTTGCTAATAGATTTTAATCCTAACTTTATTTCATTAGAAAGTAAAGTATTATCTTATATATTTACAATGTTTTCAGATCTGATAGTTACTTTTAGCAAAGGATTTGGAATATAACTTTTAAAATTAATAATTATTTTATAAGCTACTGAAGCTAGTTAAGAAGTAATAGAGATCATAGGTTTGATTTCAAAATCATATTAATTATTTTAGGCATTTTCAATAACAACAACAATCATTTAAAGAAACTGTTCTTCAGTGATCCCAGTTATATTTAAACGTACTTGTTCTGAAAATGATAATTCGAACTCTTGAATATCTGAATTTGTTTTTGTGAGTTTAGTAAGTATAATCATAGGCAGAATAATATAATTACATTAAGTAATATTATTTACTTATTAACATTTCCAATTCTTTTCAACTTCACAAATATTACTGCATCCATCATTATTCTAAAGATTTCCATCGTCACATTATTCTAATTGTTAAACAAGTTATCCATCTCCACAAATATTATTACAATATGATCCATTTTCTTTGTATCCAATATCACATTGTAAACATATTCCTTAGTAACAATCAAGACATTTTTAATGACAAGAATAAGAACACTAATAACACCCATCAAATTCAATCGAATTCCCATCATCGCACTATTCACTTCCTACTACATAACCATCCCCACATTATGAATTACAAACACCATTTATCAATACCCATCCATTGTTTTAACATTCTTAACAGATTTTACCATTACAAATATTGCATCCTTATGGACATTAAAGTTGGCATTTATAACAACCATCATATGGTAAATAATTACCATCATCACATACTTCTTCTTTACTTGAAACAATACCATCACCGCATTAATCTATGCATTAATTTGAAAAACATTGATTGAGATTATCATCCCAAATGCATTCTATATTTTCACTATCAAAAATACAAGCTTCCTTGATTATGTAATTCTAACAACTTTATTTTTTAATGCATCCCCTTTATGATGATTTAACTGTGCAAAATTAAAGATAGGCATTACATTCCGAATATTTGATTAGAGACACTGGTGCAGTTTCACAACTTTTGGTATAACATTTGCCATCAATCCAAACACAAGGATTTTAATTAATATCAAATGTACAACCATCAATAATATTAACATCTTCACAATCTTTTCGTTAAATACATTAATATCCATTAGTTACACATCTCTTATCTTCAAATATTGAAGCACAAGCTGTGTCTATAGCATAATTATAATCAAAACACTCTTTTATATGACAACCACCATTCTAACAAGTAGAAAGGAATTCTATACAATCAGAATGAGATTGGGAAGGTGAAATTTTATTCTCACAAATCCTCTCTAAACAAATATTCTTATTCTCATTCCAGAAACACTTCACTCCACTTAAATTTGCTTGCCCTTCACTGATACATTATTTATAAAAGTATTTCTTACATAATTCTTGTCTAATCTCACATCCATCTAAATTTTTATTTACAGTACATGAATCACCAAAATACTATTGACAACCATATGCTGAATATGTAGTTAATTGTGCAGTTGAACAATCTTTAATTGTACATATATTTTAATTTATAATCCATTCACATTCTTAATTATTTGAATCAATTTAGCATTACTCTTTGATTAAGTAATTACTGCAATTCTTTAATTATTGACATCCATTCAAAGTTATATTTACTGTACAAGATTTTAATCTTGTATTACATTTCTCATGTGTATCAAATGGTGTTACCAAGTTTACACATGATAAATTAACACATTCACCTGACAAGTCCTAAAAAAAGCATTCATTTCCTGATTGATCTTTATAACATTAACTTTTCTTTGCTAAAGGACACGAAAATGGAAGATCCACGCAATAATTTAAATCTAATTTGACAGTGCAATTTTTGTTTAAATAATAAGATTCACATTATTCATGAGTGTTATTCGAAATATTCGCTTAGGTGCAATCTTCAACACATCGATTATTATTGCTATTCCATTAACAGTTAAGTAACCAACTATCACATTCTGTTTAATTTAGTGAAGGAGTTGGTTTATTGGAGCATGTTTTTTCTAAACATTAAGTACCATTCCAAAAGCAAGGGATTTTTTATAAATTGCTTATATTTAAGCACAAAGCACTAGAGTAATTGCTACAATCACCAATAATTTAACAGCTTGAACCATCCCAAAAACATTTTTCAGTAAAAATAGAACAATCTTCAATTGTTGTTAATTGCTCACAATTTAAAAGTTGGCATTCAGAAGTATTTAATAACATACAAGAAGAACTCCAACTATGACATTCTAAGTGCGAAAAGGTAGATATTATATTAACTGCAGCTGTACACTGATTTATACAAGCATTAGAATACCATTAACACTCTATACCATCTATTGTTCTTACACAAGCTTCTTAATATGTGTAATCTGAACATAATTATAATTTAACTCTACACTTTGTGTTAAATTAGATTGTATAGAATAAATAAACACTGTTACAATCTTAATGAGATTCGGGTATCATACTATTTAAATTACAGTAACTATTTATACTACATTTAACATCGTAAAGCTGACACCAATAACATCGACCATAATAAAAAGAATTACTTTCACAATCAGATTATATTTGATAATCTTAACATTGTTTTTCGTAGCACGAATTACCCGTAAACGACCATTTACATCTTGCCCCATAAGTAAGTTAAGCTTAAATACAGGTTGTAGAATCTTTGATATCTTAACAAGACTTAAAGGCACATCCTTCACCTTTAGTGTAATTTAATCTACATATTGTACTATTGATTAATAAGCATTCCCTATTTGTCACTGCTGTTGTGTTAAGCTCACAATTAACATGTTTTACGCATTTACCATCCTACCAAAAGCATGTATTTGAAAAACATTGTTATATAATACTAATTTTTGGACAATCATCTGCGGTGAATTTCTTACAGCCAGTAACATCATTAACATCATATATACAATCATAATCCCAATCAAAGCAAGCTTAACTTGTTTCAGGGGAAGTTAAATGTTCACATTTTCTATCCTCACAAAGAAAAGTCTATTTATTATATCCACATTTAATTTCATTTTGAGTTATTGATGAATTGCAGATGGATTCTGAACCCATCTATTAGCTACAAGAACTCAATGATACACAGCAATCACAATTTGTATTGTAAGTATATGATGATGAATACTATTAACATTCTTAATATCTGTCAGAAGATGAAAATTAAATATTTTTTTATGAAGTTATTGGGTTGCACTAAGAGATGTAATTACATAATTACCCATTCAATGTTTTTTAGATAGAACAAAAATTTGCTTAGTGTCTGCAATAATAATTTTAATAACAATTATTATTATAAAATGTGCAAGCTCTATTCAATCTTAATATTACCTTTTCACAAAGATCTTGTGACAAATACCCACATTCATACATAGAATAACACCCTTATCCACTTGGTTATAAAACACAATTAGTATTATACATTAGGCAAAGCTCATTGCTCATACTTTCAGTAATAAATTCGCAAAGATTTTAATGTACCTCCTAACATTTATTTTAAAAATAATAGCACACCTAATTATTCTTCGTTAGAGTTTATTTACATATGACGGAATCTGTAATCTCCTCACAAGAGGCAGGTCTATTCTCACAACCAGGTCCAAATGTCCCATCAGAGTTAATTTTTAATTGGCATTCGCTATTTCTTCTGAACAATAAACATTCAGCTTCAGTTAAAGCAGTAGTATTTTCACTACAAAATATATCTTAACATATTTAATTTAAATCATCCCATTTGCAGGGAAACTAATGATAAGTAATTACACATTATTATTTATGTTTATAATCGCATTTTTATGAAAGCGATGTACATGATTTAAAAGAGTGATTTATCGTGCATTTAGGCATAAATTCTTCACAATCTTGGTGAGTTATTTCTCCAAAAAGCCTTTTATGACAATCAATTACTCCATCATTATCATCATCTTCATTCATACACTTTTATTCTTAATCATCCCAATAACATAATTATCGATTAATAGTTGTTTTACAATTCCTTTTTCTGATATATTAATTACAATTAGACTTCTTTGGTTCACATCCTTCAGCAATAAAGGAGAATATCACAGTACATTTAGGATTCCATGCATAACATTCTTCATGAGTACTATAGATATTATTATTTGGAGAAGATGTGCAAGCAATTGAATTAGGTCTATCTTAGCATCCACCTTGAGAATGATTATAAATACAATTATTTATCCAAGTATTGCATTCAACATTATTATTGTAATTTATTTTAGGAGCATCTGAACATTATAATTATTTACAATTAGTACCTGTCCAAAAACACTTTGTTCCATCTTATAGATTCAATAAACATTGTTATAAACTAATCATTTGATTACAATTAGTTGGCCATTTTGAGCATCCAACTCCAGAAGATCCAATAATACAAGGACCAGAAAACACTAAAAAGGATTTGCAATTATCATTTGATAAATATAAATTAGGATCTGCATCTGTACAAACTTAATCAATACATTTTTTATTTACTCCATCCCATTTACACTTATATCCTGAAATTGTTGTATGACATTGATCTTGAATAGAGAGCTCACAATAAATCATTTTATCTATACATCCAGTCTATATTTTTGAATTTTATATAAACTATATATTAACTGTGCATTAGGGCATCCACTCTTCACATTTCTAATTAGAATCATAAGATGTAGGAGCCTTTCTACATTTCTTTTCTATACATCTTCCAATCTTTGTGCAAATACTACCACTAGAATCAATCGAGCAATATTCTAATTCTTATATATTATCACATATATAATCTGTACAACCTAAAGAAAATAAACTAAAAGTGCAATATTTACTGGCCTCTTAGCATTTTTAATGATTATTGTAATAAGGTAATTTCAATGAGTTACATTCTAATAACACACATTAATCTTCAAGCCAAATACATATTTGTTTATAATAATTTACTTCACAAAACTACTCTTCCAATATCTCTTAGCATAATTAAGGTGCCATTTAACATCCTCCATTTAAAATTCCTATACAATTCCCATATTACTGACAATCTTTTTGACTATAATAACTTGGAGCATGGTGGCATAATCTTTATTCACATCTATTTTAATACCAAACACAATCTTGTTATTTTATTGAATAGCAATCAGTTTGATTAATATATCCATAGCATGTTTCAGGTCTATTTTTACAACCCTTATTTTCTGAAGTAACACAATCTAATAGATTGTCATAATCCTAGCATTAGTAATAATTTGTAAGTGAATCTGGAGCAGTGTTGCAACTCTTTATTTTACATTCATTTTTATGATATTCACATTTATTGCCCTCAGCATCTGTTACACAACCAAATTTATTCTAAGCATCACTACATTACTTTCTCTTCACACAATGTATTCCATTTGTTGTACAATCACTTAAATAAGATTTACATTCTGCATCCAGAGTAAATGGTAGATTTTCACATATCTTTTCAACACATTTATCATTTCTCGCATCCCAAAAACAATTATCTCTTTTTTATTAACTTTCAAAACATTAAAAATTATTAACATATTATGAACATAATTCCATTTATTTGATACATCCATAACCTTTTTCACTAATTGTGCATTCCTCAAGACCCTCTTTACACATACTGTGATTATTTAAATATATTGGTAATTCTTCACATTTTTTGACATTTGTACATTATTTCTCTAATCCAGAAATCCAATAACAATATTTTCCATTCTTATTTTTATTTGCGCAACCATTCTCTGTTTTATAATCACTACATTCTAGAATTTTTACACACTTTGATTCATCAGATACACATTGATAAGATGATTCTTAACATTTATTTTTATCTAATATACTACAATCTGTAAACTCAATGCATTGACCTAAATTAAAGCTACATTTCTCTAATTCTCTACAATCTTCTTATGAATAATTCTTGCATGAGTTGAAATTATTTCTTTCTATATTATATGATTGGCTAGAATTCAATATACACTAATCATTCTACCAAATGCAAAAACCAGAGTTTTTACATTCATTTTAATTTCTAACATGCCCACAAACGCATCTTTTTTAAATTTCGGAACTCATTACTGCTAATAATTGAATGTGTAAGAGATGATAGAACATCATTAAAAACTTTTTAAATAATTTGTAAATTTAATTCAAATGTCGTATTTAAATCTTTTCTTTTGCTATGCTTAAAATTTTTATATTAATGTTTGAAATACCCTCTAAATTATATGATTTGGTTATCGTTATTATGTAGGATGAGATCATATTAGTAAATCAAAGAATTAGAATAATTAATTATTGCGTATGATAAGTGAGTTTAAAATTTATTGATTTTTAGGAGATCTCTATATATACTTCAAATATGAATATCAATATTAGATAAACAGATTGTAAGAGCTTTGAGAAAGGTGAAGGTGAGAGAAATATATATAAATATAAATTAAAAATAAAACTTATATCAATAACAACAAAACTAAGGAAATGAAGAAGTAGAGAGTATAATTAAGAGTTAGAAAAAAAAACTCTTTGATCACGAATATTTATATCAAAATATACTTTTTGGAGATATTTAGAATTCTCAATTGATAAATTAGTTTATTCATTATATATAATATTTAATGCAATTAGTAAGATTGCCAACAAAAGCACATACACCAAGAAATGTGCCATTAAGATCTCCAGAAAAAACCAATACGATAACTCTTTAATTTCCAAATTACATATTCTTAGGTCCAATGGATAATATAAAAATAGTAAAATTTACAAAAAGCATTTCATCATCAAGTATTAAACAAATAAGATAAAAATCTCCTTGCAAAGATTAAAACATGAGTTTTGTGAAAAAAATTGGTGAGATAAAACCAAAGCATTAAAAAACATCTAGTGTTTAAATAATAACATAAAGCCCTGATCTTTTTGTTAAATAGTAATCTCAAAACAGTACTATATATAGTAACATAACAGCTTTGTAAACATTCTCAACCAAACATAAACATCATCGATCTGAATTGACTCAAGATACATGCAGTGAGTAACCAAGCACTCCTACTTTAACAGTTCCAATCTTAAAATATGTTGAATTCTCTAGTAATCTTTCACCTGGACAGGGGCTCTGTAAATCCAATAAATTAAGAGCCTAGATTTTATTTTAGAATGGTTTGTTTTATGAAGGTGAAATAGTCAAACATTCAGATATAATCTCATTAGAAGGTTTTGGAACACTTTATACAGACAACTCCAAATTTTATATTGTATATGAGGGAAGATGGAAAAACAATTGCTTTCATGGAAAGGGCAAATACTATAATTAATATTAGATCGAATCTTCAAGTGATTGGCATTTCAATTGGAAGATGATATAAGGTATATATTTATTCGATACTTTATAGCAATATTCAGTAAGGGAGAGATTATTGAAGGCAAAATCGATTTCTATCAGAATGAAAATGTAATTGCTCATTAAATTGAATATTCAAAATGAAAATCATATGATTTGTTTACTAAATTAAATTGTCATCAATCATTTTTTATTTCTTATTTAATCTATGTTCTACTTCTTTCCATTTAACAATTTGATTATTTCATTTATTGTCTTACTTGTTCCATTATAGTTTATTAAATAATATCATGCCATTCATCTTTCAAAAGTGCTGAAGTTGCACTTAAAAGATATTCATATTCTGAATTCTCATAACGAATCTAAAAATTCTAAAAAGAATTACTTTTAATAGATTTTTCTTATTAGTTTCTAGAATTGGATCTTTTATGACAATAGCATCAACCAAAGAAATAAATAATATAGGTTAAAAATCTCCTGGCTTTTTAAATAATATTAAACCAACATTTGTTAATATTACGAATATTTCTTTCCAATTATCTTGAATCAAAAAGTTGCTCTTCATCAACCATAACCAACCTATATACTTAATTAAATAATACCTTATTTGGTTGATACTTTAAATGCTGATGTCTTTCCTTAATCTAAATATCCTTATTTTTTTGAAACTTAAGACATATTTATTGGATCACTTAGCCCTTTAAACTTGATCTTAAACTCTTTTGAAAATTCCAGATTATACAACATCATTCTTTGAGAATTAAAAATCTCTGTTAAATAAATATTCAATTCTGTTCTCTTAAATGTTTCTATTAAGTAGTCATCAGAACCTGCAACTTTTATACAACATACTACTGGTGAACTCTTTTTATTATTTATTTTTAAATACTTCTGAAAATATCAAGGCCTTTATGTCCTTAATTGAAAAATTTCTAGATAATTTTCCTGGTTTAGTCTCACCTTAAAATGCATAGAATGTATGTTCAGTTATAAATATTATTCTTCTAGCTCTCTTACCTTTTGAATCTATTCTATATACACTATCAGAAAAACATTTCTATATTATTGATTTATGAACATTATTTTCTATTCTTAAAAGTTCCTTTACTTTTTAATCATTTCTTATTCCTAGAAAATCTTTCTAAAATAATATTTTCTCATCAATTTATATTGTTTATGGATCAAATATAGACTCTTTTAAATTCTTATTTTTCAACCCTCCCCAAAATTTATCAAAGTTTTACATTAATTAATTTTAATTATTTGGTTCTACTTTAATATTTGTCGAATCTTTTTCTATTTCTGTTTCTTCTACTATTGATTCTACTAAAAGTTATTAAAATTTTTGATTTCTTCTAGAATTCACTTATATTTTTTATTAATCAGGCTCCTCTTGATCAGCCTCTTATTAATCAAAATCCTATTATTCAGGTTCATCTTATTCAATAATCTTCAAACCTCCATTGCATATATCATCCAATGGATTAAAATTACTATAGATTGTCTATGGATTTTATTGAATTGATGGCATTCTAGTATTTGAAAATCTATTTATTATACCAATTTTAGAAGATGGGAATATAGATACTTTACTAAATCTTCCCAAAGCTCCTAAGTTGAATTACTTACCCATAGCACTTGGTCTTGGCATTATACTACTTCTTAATTATTGATTCTCACAGTTTAGATTCTCATAAAGCTTTTTATAATAATTAATCTCTCTCTTTAATTCTATTATTTATTGTTCATATCCACTTTGTTATTTTTAAAAAGTAACATTAACTTCTTCTAATGATTAATATTGTAATTGTAATCTTAAATAATATTAATTATACTTACTCATGCAATCTCTCTTCATAATGAATTATCATTTCTTAATTCTAATCTTTTATTACGACTTAAACTTAACTATCTTCTAAATTTTATTTACTCTCAAATTCTTCAATTATTTTCATTAATGATTTATTATTTTAAGTTAATCTATTTATTTCACTTTAACTCTTGGATAATTGTTCATTCAATTATTTATTATCTATTTGAACTTCTTTCAATTCAGTCTCAATTTTTGTTATACTTTATAATTAATCATGATAATCTTTTAATTGTTATTTTAAATCAATGCATTATTCTTAAACTCTCTATTAATTACAAATAATTTACATTCATTTCCTCTTAGAAAAAATCAGTATCTTATAAAAGCATTTGAATTTATTGGTCTTTATTTTAAATTTCAGACTCAAATTACTCTAATTAACTTTAGGCTAATTCTTTTTCAATTAAAAATTGCTCGATTTTTTTATTATTTTCAGTATATAATATTTCTATTTTTTTATCTTTTTCTTTAATTTGATCTTATAAAATAGAAATTTAAGCTTCCATTTTTTTTACAGTTTAATTAACTTCATTTAAAAGTTGTTTTCCTTATTAATTTACATATTTTTTTTGTAATATAATATCAGTTTATTAATAAACAGTATTAGCAAAGTCTTTTTATTCATTTAATACATTTGGCATATGAGTTATAGATTTGTTTTCTTCGTCACTAGAAAAATGTTAGTTTTTATTGTTGTTTATTTAATCTTCATTGTATGGGTTTTTGGATTCTCCATTGGTTTGATAGGTATGTTAATCTATAATAATTCTTTCTAAATCGTTGCACAATTAAAGAAACTCATTAATTTGAACTTTTTCATTTTCATCAACAAGTGGACGAATATATCTGAGTATTTCAATAGAATTGATTTTGATGGTTCTTTATAATTCTTTAGCAAGTGTTTCTAATTCCTTATATTCCACATCAATTCCGTATTTGTTTTCAACCAATTTATAAAAATTCTTAAACTGTTAAAGAAATTCATTAGTCAAGGTTTGTAACATATCTTAGGGTAGACGTTAGGCTTATACTCCAAGAGTTTTTAGATTTGTATTATAATTTTATGGTACATCTTATTGTAATAAGAATTCAAAGACTAAGGTTTCAACTTAAAGATTAAATAGATAAATAGATACCAGTAGGATATGTAACAAGTCCATCTTATTTATCAAGAATAAAATCATATAGTTGTTTTTTGATTTATTCTTCCAATATGCATCTAACATCAAGTTTAGCAAATTGATCAATGATACTTGAAAAATCTTGATAAGTAAGATTTTGATTGGTATAGAAATTCCTAAATTCAGAGATTACGTCTTGAAACATAGAAAAAATAAATTAAATAATCTATTTAGTTGATTGAATATAAATGTTCTAATTTTCATCAGTTAACAAACTTAGCACTTGGAGGTTTGTTTTATTAAGATGCTCCTTATGCACCTTATTCAGCTGGTTTTAGTATTTGGAAAGAACACATTAAAGATTCATCAACAGTCATCATAGAACCTAAATAATAATATGGATTTACCGGCATTATCAAATTCACCACAATAGTTAGGGGCTGAGAAAAGAGTTACTAATTGTCGTTTACTAAAGAATTCATAGCCATCTTCTACAACCTAATAATTAATATATTTAGATATTTGAATTACTTGATGTGCTCTACAAATAAGATCGAGTTCATGTTTTTTAAGAAAGACTTAAACAATTTCTTAGCTAAAAACATAAGAAACTCCTCTTTCATTATCTGCCCAACCTTATACATCCTTATCAGGATCTGACCACAAAAGATCACAAAGTAACCCAGTGTCAGGTACATCAGTTGGTCTCATTATTCTTCTTATTTATTCTAAATTAGATAATTCTGGCGATAATCCTCCATGCATACACAGTATTTTTTCATCTATTAATGCAGCTACAGGTAAGCAATTAAAACAATCAGTGAATGTTTTCCATAACTTTATTGTATATCTACGTTTACCTATATATTTATATATTAGACTCTATATTACATTCATCATAAAAACCATAAATTCGATTAATTGATGCACATTCATGATTCCCTCTTAAAAGGAAAAAGTTTTCAGGATATTTGATTTTATATGCTAAAAGTAAACAAATTGTTTCTAATGATTATTTTCCTCTATCAACATAGTCACCCAAAAAAAGATAATTACTCTCTGGAGGATAACCACCATACTCAAATAGTCTCAAGAGATCAAAATACTGTCCATGTACATCGCCTAAAATTACATTAAATCAAAGCATTGCACCACAAATTTTAAGAGGAGCTTCCAATTCTAACAATATTGGTTGACTGATGAAGATATCTCTTGCTTTTACACATAGACCCCGAACTTCAGATTCACTCAAATTTACATTCTTTCCAGGCTTACTCCCTCTAACACTAAGTAATCTTTCAATTATATTATCCACATCTATTTCCCCTTATTTATCCTTTGCCATATATGTTATTTTCTTTAATTATTAAATATATATTGTAACTCAATTTCAATTTCATCACTTCTCCCATTTATTTACAAACTTCCTATATATCTACTACTATATCTATTAATTAATCAAATAGACTCCAGTTCTATATTCTAATTTTCTAAACACTTTAAATAGAATACATTTATATTAGATAATAATTTCTATCCAAATTTATCAGTTATGATTGTATGACTATATATTGAATTTCAAATAAAAACAATTATAATTTAAAATGGAACTAATAAAAATTGAAGATTAATTTAATAAATATAAACAACCCATTTTAGAATTATAACACAATATCTGCATAATCACCTACTCTTGGTTTTAAAGGATATTTACAGCTTCTCTTATTCATTATCAATAATCAAAATTTAGAAATTCTTCAAAAAAAATAACTCAATATTTAGTCCAATGTGGCTTTTGCTTAATTGGTATTCATTATGGAAGGTTGATAATTAAATAGAAGAAATTTGTATTATATTCCCTAAGATTACTAAGTTCTGAAGGTGGATAGATTAATTTATATGATATTTATACATATAACTCATAATATTAATTTTATCTAAGTGTGTAATGACTCTTTTGTTTGACATAATGAACCTAATGTTTTAAGAATGGAGATTAATAAAGGATAAATTCAAACCTAATTAGATTAGAAAGTAATTTTCATGAATTTACTTACATATATAAAATTTTATTTAAATGATAATTAATCAATTGGGACATTTTCTTTCAATAATGCTAAACTTTCCAGATTCCTAGTATTCGTTCTTTGCCACCCAAAGAGACTAGAAAGAACTTAGTGATGCCAATATTGATCCACCAATAAATACTGAATGATAACGATTTTACTAATGATTTCAATTAATAATTACATTAGATGGATACATTACTAATTTAACTTTACACATTGGAGGTGCTAGAGCTGATAATGTTGTTTGCAATTTATTCAAAAAACCTGGTATATTTGATGATCCTCCAGTTGATATCACTGTAGAACACAATTATTATTTTATATCATTAACAGAATTGTTAATTATATCTAATAACATATGTTAAATTCCTTTGAAATTTTCATTGCTATTAAATAATTTATCTGCTATCTCAGAAAGTTATGCTTATTACATTTAAACAAACTTTCCATCAGGTAATTCATATTGTTGAGTTGAATCAATTTGCTCATAAGTCAATAAACCTTATTTAATATCTCTGGCTAAACATGTCTTTTTAAATTGATTAAAATCTCCCACAACAAATTACCTAAATGGCTCATTTAGTATTTCCCCTCCAATTGGCGCTTAAATTTAGGTTTTTAATAATGTATATCCATCATGAACAGCCGATGCAGTAGTTGAATATGCTCCTATATCTAAAACCAAAGCCGTAGAACGACCTGCTGAAAATGTTGACAAAGCTGCATTTCTAATAGTGAAGAAATTTGGAATTTCTACACTCTCAAATAAAATCTCCACCACTTTTTGTAAATCATGTTTTGTTTGGAAATTGTTAGCCAGCAATAAACTATAATCCTTCGTCTGAACTCCAAGTTTCTCAAACATCTTTTTTAATAGATTTTCATATAAATCTGGATTAAATGGTTGTAAAATGTCCAATACTTGACCATTCCCATATCCTAATGCTTCATCTCCAAATTGCATAGTTTCTGTACATTTAGTGAAAGTACTCCATCTTGGAAAGTCATCTCCTGTAAATCCTGCTCTTGTATAGAGGTTACCAATATCAGCAACAACAGAGATTATTTCGTCGCTATTCATTAAAATAATAATAATAATAACATGTTAAAAGTTCACGAATTCTTTTCAGTTGCTACTCAATTAGCTTATAATGCAGCAATCATAATTAATTAAATTAGATTATCTCCTGATATTGGATAGAAATAAAAAGGCATTGATGATCCAGTCACAATTGCTGATATTAAAGCCTAAACCTATATTGTCTAATAACTCCATAAGCATTGGTATATTAATTTTAATATTCAAGGCCTTAACTTAAAATTGTAGGAGAAGAATCAACTGTCTATGATTAACCTATAGATTTGCCTGATACTCATTGCAATCGTTACACAGAAGATATTTTCAGCAAAACACCCAATAACATTAAGGTTAGAAGTGAATATGAAATTGATGACTTATGTGTTTGGGTTGATCCTTTAGATGGAACTCTTGATTTTGTTTTAGGCAAATATGATTGTGTTACAACTTTGATTGGACTTTCATATAAAAAATAAGCTTTAATTGGAATTATCTCTTAACCATTTATCAAAATATCAGAATAATAATATGAATTTAAGCCTAAGATCTATTTTGGTCATCATCCATAAAAAAGAATATTTTATACTTATGATATTCAATCATTAATTCCATTTGAACTTAAAAAAGCGTCATATGATCCTTCTAATATTATTCTGTGTACATAAGATAAAAGATTAACTGAAGAAAAATTACAAAAAATTAAATCTCTTGGTTGTTCTCTACTTTAAATGGGAGGATCTGGGAAAAAAAGTCTTACAGTTTTGGAGGGCAAGGGAGATATATTTTTTTACCTTGGAGTCAGAATGTGTAAGTGGGATATATGTGCACCTGATGCATTATTTTAAGCTTTTGGAGTATAAAAATCTATTTATTTAGGGTCGCTTTGTAGGATTAGAAGGATAAATCTATTAATATAATTCAGAAGATAAAACTTATGATAATCCTTATGGCCATTTAGCTAGCATTCATGGTGAACTAGTTGATAAATTCTTGCCAAAAACCACTGGAATGTTATGATGTTTTAAAATATTAAAAAAAATTATTTAATAAGATAAGAAGGATTTCTCTAACTTAATTTTATATAATTTTTTCATGAGTAAAATTTGCTGTAGCAAAAATTATTTTCCATTGTTCTAATTGATTAATATAAATCGTAATCTCGAGTAGTAATTCTAATTATGAAAAATTTTTAATTTATCTTTTTTTCTAGAACTAATATCTTGAATCGTAAATATAATCAGTTTATCAAATTTCATTAACTTATTATATATGAACTCAGTGAAATAGAAGATATCAACAAATTTTAAATATTATTAATTTTATGAAATAAATATGAGTTTTTTATCATTATACTTTTCAAAAAAATTTCTAAGGTTTCCTTTTATCTTCTCAATTATTTTTTTTGTCTAGTTATAATTTTAAATGAAATCAATTTTCAATTCAGTCATTTAGAAATATCGAGTCATTTTAAAAGTTCGACGAGAAGGAATTGAAGTTGAAAAAATTGTTTGTTTTGTTTTAATTTAAACTTTATCCTTCTGACAGATAAATTTCAGAAACCAATACTCGAAATTTAGATACTTCAAGGAATCTTTATGATTAGATTAATTGATAGATAGATTCAATAAAATAAAATAAACAAAATTTTTGAATGAGAAATTTAACAATTGAATATAAATTTTATTAATTTATAACATATTTAATTTCAAATTTTATATTTATACAACAATACCCATCAATGAGTGATTATCAGATAAAATACTAAGAAATTAAAGGGAGTCTAGCTATTTTAATGTAATAAAATAATGCTCTTAAATAATAACTTAAAGAGGCTTGTGAAGAATTGTAAGAAAAATAATTGTTAAAGGAAGAATGGGCTGAAGAAGTATAAAGAGTTTCCGAAACAATACATTTATTGTAAAGTGAAAATGCTAGTATTTATTGTTTGTATGCTAGATTTATTATAAGAAAATGAACATTTAAATAGAAATTGTTTAGAATCTAAATATCTTATAGAACAATAAATTGAATAAATTACGATTTTAAAAGATTAGAATGACAAATTAGTTGTCTAATTAGATTAATGCAGATAATAAAATTTATAAAAGGAATTAATTATTAAATAGCAACGAGATGATAATATAAAATAAATTGAATAATTACAATAGCAATATAATGAAGAAATAAAAAAATTATAGGGTATAATAGATAATCAAAATGGTTTAATATAATCTTATGAGAAATTGAATGAGATTGACAAATAGGATTAATAACATTATAAATAACAAAATTAGATTTAATTTGAGGATTAATTTATAGAACTAAAAAATAGAAATTTAATTCTTTAGAATAAAATAAATGATGAAAAATAGAAATATGATTAATTATATGAGTAACATAGAGATGAAGTTTAAAAATTATAAAGTGTAATAAAAGAATAAAAAGATTTATTAAATTAATATGAAAGAATAATAGAGAGAGATAAAAAATAAGCTTAATAATAAACACAGTTAAATAATACACCTGTTAATATGCAGTATGAGATAGCATAAGTACCATAACTATAATAAATGAAATAAGTACATTAATAAATTCCTTAATAACCTTTATATTCATAACCTAATTTAAATTAAAATGTCTACCAATAAACATTAGCATCTCCTCTTCTTTATGATAAATGCAATTAGCCATCACCAACTTATTTACACACTTAACCTAATTATGCTTAACCTAATTATGCTTAACCTATATCACAAAGACCACCAAAAACATTTTTTACTAACAATAAGATAAATCATTAATTGAATTAAATAACAAGAGATAAATAAAACTCAAGAGAATATAATTAAAAACGTAGTTTTCATTTTGATGATGAGGAAGATAGTAAAAGAGTAGAGAAAGAGTTTTAGGAAGAATTCTTGAATAAATTTTAGAATGTAATTGGAAGAATGGAAGATAAACTATACTAAATGTAAAGTGAATTAAATATTTCTGGTATTTCAGAAAAACCAAAAAAATTAAGATGATTGACCCATAAATATATATATATATATTATCATTATAATTAAAATTTTCATTTTAAACTTCCAGAGCTTTGATAAAAATCGTAAATTAAAGAAATATTATCAACTACATACTTAATATAAGGTTTGTACATTTCTCCATATATTTTAACAACCATTTCCCATCCATATTCAACAAAAATACAAGCTGCTACACTTTCCCATAGATCACTCATAGTTTTTGGAATTTATGCTGAATATTAATTGATTTTTCTAAAATCAGTAAATTATTCATCTCTTAATAATGTTAAGACTCTTTTTATATCATTCTAAGTTTCTCTAGTAAGATTTCTAGCATACTAATGAAAATTATGATAAATTGCCATAGTTCCCATAAATCCACTATCAAGTAAAGATATTTTAGCAGTGTGAAGCATTCCTGGACATAATAACAATTTTTATGTAATTTTACCTTCTCTACATAATTATTATTATTAAGGATTATAGTATAACTTTTCACATTCCTTATGAACATTTACAATTACAAGTAATTCTAATATTGCATCTCCAAAAAATTCTAATCTTTCAAATTCATCTAGTGTCAGAGCTTCTTCAATTTTATTTAATTTGCATCCTAAATAATCTTCAAATTCTTAAAAAGGTTAATTAAATTTTATTGTTTCAGAGAATGGTCTTACAATTATTTATTTCTTTAATGGATAATCATTATCATTTTCTTTATCTATAATATTTTCTTTAAAATCAATTAAAGGTTTTCCTTTATAGAATTACTATAATTTTCCTTTAAATTCAAACTTACTTAATTTAAAAAAATCAATTAAATCTTTAAATTCATAGTTTTTTATATAACATGCTCCACATAATGCTTCATAAATATCTGCTTATTATTTTTAAGATAGTTTAGGATCTTCTTATTCATTTATAATCATCATCATATGATTTAAAAATTTCTTTGAATTAATCTTAAAATTCATTGTATTCAATTTCAATTTAGAATAAATACCACTTAGATATTTATTTGTTATTAATCTAACTCTTGCAGAAGTCAAAACATTTTCTGTTTTATATTTTGTTTCTTCGAATAACATAGCAGATGTTAAATACTTAATTACAACATCACCAAGCATTTCTAAATTTTGATAATTTCTTTAAAGATTAAAAGAAGGACAAGAAATGGCTTCTTCAATTCTATCAATATTAGCTAATCTACCAATTTAATAAGTAGCATTCTATGCATTTGCTATCAATATTAACTAAGAGATTAATTATAAAAATGTTCTACAAACTAAATCCATAAATTTAATTGATAGAGGATATTTAAACAATGCACTTTCTCCAGCAAAATAGATTTATTAATAATTAGAAGATAATAAGGTACATTTATTATCTTCTTCACAATTTGGACAAACTAAACTTATATTACAGAGATATATTACAAATTTTCATATAATCACCATTTTAGTGCATTTATGAAATACTTTTTATTTGTTGTAAAATGTAGAACTTAGTGTCTTAAACATTGAGATTAAAATTCTTTCTAATACATTAAACAAAATTAACAGAAGGTGGATAATTTTTTCCTTATAAAAAATCTAATAATGTGCCTTTAGGATTATCCAACATAAAAATCTATTAAATTTCATTTATATCAGAATAGATTGAATTATCAATTAAATAAAATAAGTAATCAATTAATTAAGTATTTTTATCAAATTGATATTAAATATTGCAAACCCTATAAGGATTGGTAGTATAATAAAGAGTATAGAATTTAGTTTGAGGTTGGATTGGTTCATTTTTTTATGCTAATTTACATTCTAGAAATTCATAAATTTGATCAAAGTGAATACTGTAAACTCCAGGAACAACTAAAATATTTATTTAAGGTAAAGGAGTAGGTTCAATAAAAGTCTAAAAGTTACGAGCATTATAAGGTTGAAATTATGTTTTATTAGTTAAGAATAAATCACCAAATAATAGTATATTAAAACTAACAATCGATTTAAATTAGCCTATTGAAACAATAAGTTTCTATGATACTTTATATCTAGGACAAATTGTTGAACTAAAAACGATGAAACCTTTGAAATGATATTAAATTAAATTTACTTTATTGACTATATTCAATTGGACAGGGAGAGAGAAGAATAAGCATCTAATTATCAATCTCAAAGTAATTCAAAAAGATTAGTACATTTTACTTATCTTCAAAGGCTTAATAATGAGATGAAATTTATGGTGGTATGTATCCAAAAGCCTGAACACAAGGGATTTCTGCCATAAGAATTATATTTACTTTTATTAAAAATTGAAGATAAAAATAATCATCTTAATTTATTTCTCATTATAAATTATAATCTAAAAAGCCATGTTTAAATTATCATTGTGCTTTCATGAAATTTAAATCAAATCTCCTAAAATTTTGTTTCTTGCTTCATCATTAATTAAATATAAAACCATACTTTATATTTCATCATTCAAATAATTTTCACATAAACGAATTAAAGACAAGAGGAAATATTTTATTTTTAATTTCATATATGTCTTTACCATGTTTGATTTTAATAGACAAATTAATTAATGTATTATAGGGATGTGCATATTTATAAAATATGTTTTTTTTAATTCGTATTTAAGAAGAAAATATCGATAATAATTTAATTTTCGAAATCAGAAATATTAAAAAAAAAAAAAATTTTTTCAATCTAAAGTATCCATGATATTACGGAATTAAGTTAAAATACAATTCTCTGTTATTATAAAATTTATAAGAATATGGGTAATAAAGATTTTTAAATAATATTTTCTGGTAAATTTTATATTGATTGAAGCCATAAAAAGATTTGTAATCATTGCATTATAAAACAATTCTATATTTTTTTTCATAAGATAATTCATCAGGAGACTCATTAAAAAAAGTTTCTTCATTTAAAAACTTTATTATAGTATTTTTAATTATAATTTGATTTTATTTCTATTAATGTTATTATTTGCATTTTCAATTATATAATAAATATATTTGTTACGATTCATAGATTATGTGATTCTATTAACATAATAGTTACCCAAACTGAATTGTATAAATAGTTTTTTACAAGATTTTAAAATGTCATTAATTTACAGATGAATTGATTCAATTGATATAAAGAAAATAATCAGATAATAATAGATTAAATAACATATTAAATAGATTAAGAGATTGAGAAGTATTAAAACATTTGAAATTATTGCCAAATATTTATAATTATTTTTTGTGTCCTACATTAATCATTTTTTAAAAAATAAATATGGATTGAATGTTTCAGGAATGAAAAACACTCCTCCTCCAATAAATGACAATACAGAATTACGAAATAAAGATCCTAAATTATTTTTATTTTTGTTTTACTTCTCCATGTTAAAGTTGCCAAACCAATTGTTCCTATGCATAACATTATAAATCGGCTATTATATGGTACATTATCAAGGATATATTTCTTTTTGAAATCTTTATAATTATTTAAAACTTATACTTGTTATTTCTTATGGCATTGATTCAAAAAAATTATAGAAATCTTCGCATTTTTCAGCAACCCAATATGTGGTATCTCCCTTTATTAGATTTACTAAAATAAGTTTTTCTTCGTTTTCCATTTATAGTGTATTGAATTGAATATAAAAATAAATATATAGAAAAACTTATCTTTAAAATATTCCCAAAATTAAAAATTTATTAATAATTTATGAAAATAAAAAAAACAATAACTTTGCTGACGAACATTAACAATTAATTGTTCAATTATTTTAAGATGTTATTTTTGTATTTCTAAATGCACATCATTAGTTTTAAATTTTACATAATAACATTATCATTAATTTTAAACTTTAAAATAAAATTACTACCAATAATCATTATAAATAAGTTTTGAAAAAATCACAAATATTAAGACAATTGATCTTTTTTCAATGGTTTGACTAATAAATCATCCATACCAGCACTAATACATGCTGCTTTTGTCTTTGGATCACCATCTATTTTTTTATTTAAAATAATTATTATAAATATACCTCCACTAAGACCTAGAATCTTACATTTAGGTAATCCTTTAGCTTTTTCATGAGCTCTAATTTATTTTGCAGACTGAAAATATTAATTAAATTTTTACATCATAACCATCCATCACTGGCATGTGAATATCCATAAGTACATGAATAAAATCTGGTGATTTTTGGTATGCTTCTAAGGCTTCTTTTCCATTAGCTACCACCATACATTCTACTTTCAAAGCACCATATAACATCTTTAATAAATTTTAAGCAAAGGGTTCATCATCAGCTACTAACACTTTCTTTCCTTCCATAATAAAATATTTTTATTAATCAGAATTTTTATGTCTTTTGACTAAGTCTCTTATCTTTCTAAATAAACTTTTATTTTTCTATTTTTTTCAAGATTAAAATTAAATTAGAATTGGCTTTCTATTACTCATTTTATTTATTATCTTTTACACTTCTAAAACTATAATCAGAAATCATTGTCATGAAATAATTAAATATTTAATTGTTATTTAATTCTGATGTTTCTCAAAAAGTATTATAAAGAATCAATATATAATAATATGAAAATCATAAAATTTATAATTTAAATTTTTTTAATTCTTTTCAAAAACCATTTATTTATTTATTTTTGAAGTAATTCTTATAATTTATTAATCTTTAAAATTATTAATCATAAAATATTTCAAATCCTTCATTCTTACTATTTTATCATAGTCTTTCTGATAAAATTAAGGATTAATTTTTGTATTTTACATGATTATTAATTATTTTTGTCGATAATTAATAATTAAAAAATGGAGAGAGCAGCAAATCTAATATTTACAGCAGGTTCTTTAATAGTTGGTGGTGGAATTTTATTCAAGTCATTCTTCTATACAGTTGATGGAGGATAGAGAGGATTAATTTTCGATCGTTTTTAAGGAGTTAAAGAAACTGTTTATGGAGAAGGAATGCATTTTTTCATTCCTGTTATTTAAGTATAAGAAGAATAAATATTTTAGTCACCGATTGTTGCTGAAGTCAGATTACAGCCTAAAACAGTAGCATCTAATACTGGTACAAAAGATTTATAAACAGTTGATATTGCTATTAGAATGCTTCATAAACCTATTGAATCATATTTACCAGAGATTTATAAGTAATATTTTTATTCAATAAATAAAGAACAATTGGTTTAAATTATGAAGAAAAGATTCTTCCATCTATTGCTAATGAAGTATTGAAAGCAGTTGTAGCTTAATATGATGCAGATCAATTAATTAAAATGAGAGAAAAGATTTCAATTGAAATAAAGGAAGCTTTGATTGAAAGAGCTAAAGAATTTAAAATAGTTTTAGAAGATGTCTCAATCACTCATCTAGGATTTATGAAAGAATATGCTTAAGCAATTGAAGCTAAGCAAGTGGCTTAATAATTAGCAGAAAGATAAAAGTTTATTGTTTTAAGAGATGAGGAGGAAAAAAATGCAAAAGTAATCTTATCTGAAGGAGAATCAGAAGCAGCTAGATTAATTAATGATGCAGTTAAATAATATGGAACAGGTATCAATATATATCTTAAATTTATAGCTTAAATCGAAATCAAAAAATTAGAAACAGCAAAACATATTGCTGAATAATTAGCCAAGAGTCCTAATATTACATGGATTCCAACTGGAAATGGTGTTTCAAATTTGTTAAATTTAAAGACTTTTTGATTCACCCAATTATCAGTATTATTTTTTATGGTAATCTAAATTTACATTTTTTACAATATTATTGAAACTAAAATTCTCATTTTTTTAATAACTATTAAATTAGATTATTTATTAATAATTAGAAAAATTTACAATCAAAAATAAGATTTAATCGAATTTTAATTAGAAAGGTTATATTATTTCTTCAAAATAGATTAGTCTTTATCATTAATTTTTTAGTGTTTACTGTTATTTACTGTTAAATCAACATAAATCATACATATTTATAATCAAATTTAAATTATATTAATTAAGTATTATAATTATCTTATTAATTTCTAATAACATAAGAATAATTTCTTACACATTGATTAAAGTTGATAGTAAATTATTTTATCCTGTAAATTAATCATTTAATGTAATTAAGAATTCAAATTATTAAATAACCATTCTGATAAAATTAGATGTTTTTTGATATATAAATTTATCAGAAGATTTTTTGTAGCAAAATTTGAATATATTTTTAGTTATTATTATTCGTAAATTATAATCACATATTGGAATTATTTTAATAAGTTTACCATAAAATAATAAGCTTTGAATTACGAATGACAGAATCCAAAATTGATTTAATAAGTCAAGTTTTTTATAGTAATAATAAGATCTTCATAAAGATTAATGAATGGATAGAAGAATCTTTAATTTATGAATTAGAATGGTCAAAAACTTCTAAAATAAACATATAATATTCATTTAGTTTCTAGCAAATGAATACTGTAAAACAATTATTTGGACCTAAGATAACTATAACTATTATCAAAAATAATTCTATAAAGTCCTGGATTCGATATAACGGTGACTCCAATTATGGGTTGTTTATGAGATTCAATTCTTTATAGCTTGATCAAAGATTTAACTCCGTTTTTCTCATTAAGATAATCAATTATTCCCAAATCTTCAATTGTTTATAATTTGAATAGTCCAAATGATACATCATAATCTAGAGTTCTAAAGCTCCAAAATATAAGTGAATTAGGCTTATCAACCATGAATGAATAAGAATAGATGGATGCAGCTTAAATTATAACATAACAAGGGAAAGCTGCTTATATATTTAAATTTCTCAGAGATGGTACACTTTATGACTCATCTACATAACTTAAAGCTTTAACAGAAAAGTATCTATAATATATAAATAGATTATAATACTTGTTTTCCCTTAGATATGCAAGATCTTCATCCTCAAGTAGAGATTACTTAAATTTATCATCATAATCTGATGAATGAATTAATTGATATAAAAAAATAGTTATTTCTTTGTATTCTTAAGCATCTTTATGTAAAAAGAGAGATAGATTGCGCATTACTAATTATAATGGTCCCATCAAAGCTATTCTTAAACCAGGAATATATTTATATAAAACTTTAATAATAAGATAAGTTCTCTTCTGGAGTCCAATTTCTTCAGGCAAGACTAATATCATATTCAATAATTGAGCACAACTTTTATACATATTAGATATCTAGTGTAGAATCATTTGTTTCTCTATTTTAATATAGTAAGTTCTCTATTACATATCTTATATTGTATATTGAACATCCAATATATATCTTTCATAAATTNAACCATTCTGATAAAATTAGATGTTTTTTGATATATAAATTTATCAGAAGATTTTTTGTAGCAAAATTTGAATATATTTTTAGTTATTATTATTCGTAAATTATAATCACATATTGGAATTATTTTAATAAGTTTACCATAAAATAATAAGCTTTGAATTACGAATGACAGAATCCAAAATTGATTTAATAAGTCAAGTTTTTTATAGTAATAATAAGATCTTCATAAAGATTAATGAATGGATAGAAGAATCTTTAATTTATGAATTAGAATGGTCAAAAACTTCTAAAATAAACATATAATATTCATTTAGTTTCTAGCAAATGAATACTGTAAAACAATTATTTGGACCTAAGATAACTATAACTATTATCAAAAATAATTCTATAAAGTCCTGGATTCGATATAACGGTGACTCCAATTATGGGTTGTTTATGAGATTCAATTCTTTATAGCTTGATCAAAGATTTAACTCCGTTTTTCTCATTAAGATAATCAATTATTCCCAAATCTTCAATTGTTTATAATTTGAATAGTCCAAATGATACATCATAATCTAGAGTTCTAAAGCTCCAAAATATAAGTGAATTAGGCTTATCAACCATGAATGAATAAGAATAGATGGATGCAGCTTAAATTATAACATAACAAGGGAAAGCTGCTTATATATTTAAATTTCTCAGAGATGGTACACTTTATGACTCATCTACATAACTTAAAGCTTTAACAGAAAAGTATCTATAATATATAAATAGATTATAATACTTGTTTTCCCTTAGATATGCAAGATCTTCATCCTCAAGTAGAGATTACTTAAATTTATCATCATAATCTGATGAATGAATTAATTGATATAAAAAAATAGTTATTTCTTTGTATTCTTAAGCATCTTTATGTAAAAAGAGAGATAGATTGCGCATTACTAATTATAATGGTCCCATCAAAGCTATTCTTAAACCAGGAATATATTTATATAAAACTTTAATAATAAGATAAGTTCTCTTCTGGAGTCCAATTTCTTCAGGCAAGACTAATATCATATTCAATAATTGAGCACAACTTTTATACATATTAGATATCTAGTGTAGAATCATTTGTTTCTCTATTTTAATATAGTAAGTTCTCTATTACATATCTTATATTGTATATTGAACATCCAATATATATCTTTCATAAATTCCTAAGAGTTAAGTAAGAAAGTTGACTTATTATTTTTCTTCCATTTACCTAATCATTAAAAGATATTCATAAATGAGTTCTTGAAGATGACTTCCGAATAAATAATATTAATCTATGATACTTTCACATGAGGATAAGAGTATTTATAGTTGTTTGATAAAAAGACTATTGTTATCCTAAAATTATTTCAAAGCTTATTTCAAAACACTTAGATCTGATTACTTCTTATCAACATATTTGACTTATAAACCGATTAATAGTTCATCTATATGAAATTCTAAAGATGTATGCCTTAATTATTGTTATAAATTCAATAAACTATTAGCTAGATCCACCATTGTTCTTTCAGCACCTCTTTAATGAAGTAGCCTATTTGCTATAATCTTTCTTTGCATTATTGCATCCAATATTATTATTGAGCTTCTCACTTATTAAGGATTAGTTGATGAGAGATGCTTCATCAATTTTCTTAATAATTATAGATTGAGTAAATCTTAAAGTTAAGGCTCATCTTTTATATCTTATCCAAGTTAATCTATTAGATGTAATATCCCCTTAACTTCATTATTTTCAAAGCATTCATTCAATTTCGTTTACAATTCTACTTGATATTGTTGTAATAATGGTGTGATTAATGGTGATTCAGACATTAATTAATATGAATTTAAACGAAAATGCATTACTCTAACTTAGTACTAGAATTGCTGCACCAAGAAGAGCTACTGTGTTTAGTTATTCTAAAAAAGGATTGAATCTAAGGCCTGATAGTCCTAAAACTAGAGAGGCATGTTTAGCTATGGGCTATGATGCTTCAATCTTTAAACTCAAGTATTTAATTTATCATATTTAGAAAATTGGAAGAATTTGGTGGACCAAATGTCCCTGAATCAGTTCAAAAAATGAGATATGATCATTATGTAAGAAAAATGGAAAGTATATTCTCCATCTTAATTGAAAGTTACATTTAAGGAGATCTCCAAAAAAAGAAAACAAATCATAAAGAAAAATAAAGGATTATAAAATATTTAATTAGAAAAATCATTTCATAGAGATGAAGGGTATCTTCTAGTATCTATTTATATTTTTAGTTTAGTAAATGATTTGATAGAAGTTTATAATAAAAAGATGGTGAATCTTAAAATTGAAGAAGAAGAAGGAAATAATTCTTATGAATCATATGATGAAGAAGATCCACTTCTTGTTTTAGAAGAATAATTAGAAAAAGAAATTAGAAAATATAAAAGAGCTCTTGGAGTTAAAGCTAAAGAAATTCATCATTAATTAGAAAATGAAAAGAGAAGACATTAATTATAAGAGGAAATGGAAGAAAGAGAAAAAAAAATTGCTGAATTAAATGAAAAAATTAAAAAAGAAAAATTATTAAAAAAAAAAAAAAAATTTGAAGCAGCCTAAAAAAAAATAAATGACATTAAAAATAAAGAAAGATTATTTAATCTTAAATAAATTGATGAAAGAAAAAGATAATTAGAAAGATTTGAAGAATTAGGTAGAAAATTAAAATTTGATGAATAAATTAAAAAAAAAGAAATTGAAGAACACGAAAAATCATTAAGATAAAAGTTTGAAACTGTAAGAGCTAATAAAAAAAAATTTGATAAATTTATGGAAGACAAAATGACACTTACTTTATCTCATTTATAAGTTAAATGTAATTTTATATATTCCCTAAACTATTAGAAAATGAATGTAATACAAATAAAGAAAAGTTTACTTGGGAAAGCAAATTAGAAAAATTAACTATGCGAAGTTCTCATTATGATGAAAAATTAAGAAAAATTAAATTATAAACTGAATAAAAGGAAGCAGAAGCAATTTAAAAAGTTGTAGAAAAAATGCATAATAAAGAATAAGATTTATAAAGTATAATAAATATAAGAAATTATAGTGTTGGAAAAATAAAAGTAAATGAGTGAATAAGCGAAAATAAAAGAAGAACATTCAAAATAAAAAAAAGCTTAAGATTGTTTAAAAAGAATTTAATCCATGCAATTGTAAAGAGTTTCAGATTTAGAGAAAAAGTTCTTGGATTAGGATGAATTAAGCAGTAGAAGAAAAGACGAATAAGATTTCTAAAAAAATTTAAAAAAAGAAAAAATGAAAATTAAACAATAAGATTTAATTGAAAATTATTAGAGATAAGAAAGACTTAAAGATTTGAGATTTAAATAAGTTATAAAAGATAATCAGTAATTGAATGAATAAAAGTCATTAGAAAAACTTTCCATGGAGTTAGTAAGAAAGGCTCAATAAGAATTATAAAGAAAACTTAAACAAGAGAATGAACATTTAGATAAAAGTTTAGTTTCTGTAAGTTAAGCAGATAATAAATAAATGGGGTATATGTTTGTTATTATTATCAAAGAAATTTAGTCCAATAATTAGAAAAAAGCTTAATGCAATATTCTTAATTGATTTGACCAATTTTTATATTAAAAATGAGTTAATCTATTCATTCTGTTTCTTTGTATAAAATAATATATATATGCAAAAAATTCTTCAAAAATGTTTTCTATATCTTAAAATTCATTTTTTTTAAAAAGTATTAAAATTTGATAAGAAAATAATAGATTTAGTTTATATTTATTATTGTAAAAATATAGTAATTTATTAAAATGATTGATGTAATCATTGTTTTAATAAATTCAATATATAATTGAATTATGGCATTTTTAAAGAAATTATTTGGATAAAAAGCAGATTAATAAAGTTCTCTTTATAAGACCAACTTAAACGAAATTTATAATAAATCGCCATTTCAAAAAAAATAAATAACTTCAACTATTCAAGATTAAAAAAAATTAGAGCAATTTGAACTAGTATTGGAACAACAAATAATTGATTTAGAAGCACTTAAGAAATTGACATGGAGAGGAATACCTAATGGTATTGTTTTAGATAATAATAAATAGAATATAGAGCTAAAGTATGGAAATTAATTGTAAAATATATTCCTCCTAATCACATGAGTTAGACAACAATTTTGTTAAAAAAAAGATAAGATTATTAATAATACATAAAGAATTACTATGAACATATGAATGAACAAGAGAGAGATGAAAATGAAAGGAAAATAATAAAAATAATATAAAATGATGTATTGAGAACTTAGCCAGATTATAAACTGTTTAGAGATCCTAGGATATAAGAAATGTTTAAAAGACTTTTATTTATATGGAATATGCGACATCCAATGAGTGGTTATGTTTAAGGAATAAATGATGTGGCATCACCTTTAGTTGTAGTATTCTTGAATGAATATGTTGCAGTAGATTTCAATTCTTTTGATGTTCCTTCTAATTTTGATAAATTACCAGAAGAAATATTAATTGATATTGAAGCTGATATTTATTGGTGTTTATGCAAAATAATAGAAAACATTTAAGATTATTTTACTGCAAATTAACCTGGTGTTTAAGAAGCATATGTTAAAATAAGGGAGTTGATTAAAATAGTAAAAATTAATAAATACTCTTAAGCTTGACTATCCCTTATATCAATATTTTGAAGATTAATAAATAGACTTAAATCATTTTGCCTTTAGATGGGTTTTATGTCTTTTAATAAGAGAATTTCCATTATCTTTGACAATTAGATTATTGGATACATATTTGGCTGAAGGAGATGAAATGGCAAATTTACATGTATATACAGTAACAAATTTAATTCTTAAATGTGCACCTGAAGTAAATAAATTATAATAATATTATTAAATAGATTAAATCAAAGCATATGAGTGAAGCTGTCATATTTTTATAGAATTTACCAACAAAAGAATGGACAGAAGTATAACTTGAGATGCTTTTGTAAGAAGCTTTTGTATTTCAAGATCATTTCGAAAAAACAAAAGGCCATCTAAAATTAAATTAAGGTAATACAAATAGAAGTAGCATTCTCTGATTACTATAAGATATAAAGAGAATATATTATTATTTACATCATCATTACTTTTTTTATTGACTCATTTCTCTTAATTTCTAATATGGTTTATTTTCATCTCTAATATTATATCTTTTAGATTCTTCATTTTATTTTATTTATGAATCTATTTTATTGGATTCCTTACTTTTTGGAAAATTATAAAATTTACTTGAGTTCTATCCTATTGATTCTAATATTCGATTTTTCTCTTTATCCAAAACAATCATAATGTTTTTGCATTCTAATTTACTTATTTAAATATCACTTCCTTTTTTTGATTAAAAGAAAGGTTTTTTAGATGGAATGGTTTTCTAAACAGGCATAAATGTTTCTTCTTAACAAGATAACTTATGTTAAATATTTTATTATTATGGATAAAAATTACGCTCTTAATCAGCATCATCAGAATTATCATTTAAAAATTAAAAGTTTACATCTTTATTTGATTACATAAATTATGCTGTTCCTGGAGTTTCAATTTATTTTACTACTAATTACACTTCATTAAACTAAGATGAAGCTTTAAATGTTATACGATTTGATGGTTAATCTAAATCTTAATTAAATATTTGTAAGTGATAGGGAAACTTATTTTTTGCTTTTATTAATTATTCTTTTTAACAAAATAATTCTTTTTTATTTTCACTAACACAACTTCTTTTTCTATTAATTATAATATTTTTTAAAGGTGATGCTTCTTAACTTATCCTTTTTGGGGAGATATCTTAATTTTGAATTGTTTTTATTTTTTACATAAAGATTTCTGAATCCCTTTATTCTATTTGATTGTTACAATAAGTGTAGCATTTTTTTTTATTTGATTCTTATAAGATAATATCTTGAATAGAGTTTATTTTTTTTCTGTCTTAAAAGTTAATTTAGGTTTACAAGTTTTATGAATAATCTAATGATTTTTTTCTTTTGCTTGGTGTCATTTATATTTTTGAATTAGAGTATTGATGATTTAATTATTAAAAAGTTTAGTTAAAATTTACATGGCCATTTCTAACAAGTATCTGTTAATTTAATTTAAGCATAATTTATATTTATAGTATAATCAAAACATTTCAATAAACTTTTTACTTGATTTTTTTTTAATAAAACATTCAAATATCCCTGATCACAAATAAATTATTATTGATTCACAAGGAAACTTTATGACATTTGGAAATTGAATTTCTTTTTGGAAAATTTAACTCAAACTATTTAATATTAAATCCATAATTTCAATTCTATTCTAAATCTCCTATGATTAATATTTGAAATGTTTCAATCTTTGACAAGATTTTTATTAAACATCATAATATTTCTATAGTTAAACAATGTAAATTAAATGAATTTATAAATTTAAATATAGGATTGTGAATAAGATTATGATTGATAGCAATCCATCCCTATCTAATAACAAATTTTATTAAATTTATAAATTTTTAACAATTTACTTCCTTATTTGATACACTTTTATGTATCTTTTTTCCTTGGGCAGTTTTAATCCAAGATTTTAAAGATTAAGAAGACTTTAAGAAGTAAATTATTGATTTTGATACCTTAAATAATATTTAATAAATAATATATTATTATCATGATAGAAAAAATGAATTTAAAAATTTATTTATTTTTATACTAAATACTAATG